GTCCTAAGATTATATAATATTATCTAGGGCCCTAGGCGAATATCTTTTCAAAACCATGGAAGGCACGGCAGGTACGTGTTGTCAAAAAATAAAATAAGAATAGATCTTTTATGAGTAAACCAAATTAACCAATCTCAAGGAGACAGTACTTGGTAGTTTATTTTAATTAGTTCAACAATTATATTTTTTTATTTGAAGTCATTATTAATCAGAAGAATAATAAAGGTTTTTGTCTAAATTATTTGATTATGCATACGTACTTAATATTTTCAAACGACTATTACTATTAGAAAAGAATCCATGCACATAATGTCCATTTAAAATGCTATACACAACAAACTATTCGGTCGGTCGAGAGAGAGGGTTCCTTCTGATTTGTTTATGAGAAAATCAACGCATGTTACGCATCAGAGCACGTTTTTCAGCATTCTCTATGGATTAACACACATAACAAACAAAAAATCTTGGACCACTCTCCTAATAAATGATACGTAGACAAATCCAACGAGTCCATCAATCCATAGTTAATGCTCACCCAACTCTTTTCTTATCTATCATCTCTCTATTTTACAGATTCTTATATATGCAATTATGCATCATGCATGTTTCTATATAAATGGAGCAAAATCTATGTTTCAGAAATATCGATTTCTCTTCAACAACTTTGGAATGGTAAGTGGGTCATTGTCTATATATCACGCAGTTTTTTATACAAAAATTTCAACTGTTATAGATTGTAAAATCTAATTATGTTTAACTTACTCTTTATAACCCAAAATCTTGATCCGAATAGAAATATAGAGCTTATTTTTCTAGTACGTACGATTAATATTAATTGTCTTCTGCCTATATGAGTGTGGTGGAAGCATTATAGGCATCATAATGGTTAATTTGAAGCCAGTAAACAGCGTGGTTTAAGGTTAAACTTATACATTTTATTGGGTATTTTTGTGTAAAGGCAAAAGAAGAAGAAACTAGAAAGCATCTCGTGGTGGTCAAACCTTTTTCGTTAGAAGATGAGAAGGATTCCGAGCACACAGCTTTTAATGTCATCCGACGGCTCTTTAGCCTCTTGAAGGACGTGCGCCCAGGAACTGATCTCACCGATTTTACTCTGGTTTAATTTTCAGAACTTGAAATAGTAATAATTTTTTTTTTTGTAGAGAAAAAAGTTTTCTTAGAATATATGATATGAAGTATATCAATATTTATTCATAACACACAATATCAATAGGTATTTTGCATGGAAAATAAAAGAGATATTGTACAACAAACAAGTAATGGAGTATTTATGACAGGTGTTTTTGATATCTAGGAGATTGAATTACTTTTTTTCTTTTTTTTTGAAACTTAAGAGATTGTATTACTTACCATGATATTGGTATCCCTAGTGGTTTGCGTTGGTATTTCATATCTTTCTTGTATTAATTTTTTTTTTTAATGTAAAGTTGCCACCTCAGTTGAACCAACCAAGATCACAACTCCAGATTTACGGCGAGATGATCTATAGTTTCGGCGGCCAAGATCTGCTGGGAGAATGTAGCCGCCGCAATTCTCCCATCGAACGGCTCAAATCTGTGGTGACATGGAACATCTCCAAACTCCGCCCGGTAGTCTTTGGCATGTCACCGTACAATCCTGTTCTTGGGGAGACTCACCACGTCTCCAATGGTCACATCAACGTTCTCTGCGAACAAGTATAATCTTATTTATGCTATTACAAAAAAAAAAATTATAATCTTATTTGTGCTAGTAAAAAATATATTATCTTATTTATGCGAATATATAATCATATAGATCGTTAATTTTTAGGTATCACATCATCCACCGGTGTCCGCACTCCATGCTACTCACGAGAAGGAAAATATTGACTTCACGTGGGTTCAATATTTCACTCCTAAATTTCGTGGTATGTTTATTATAATTAAATGTAGCATTCAATTCTTTTCATTTCTTTTTTAAGTAGCAATCAAATTGTTTCAATTAAACTTACAACAAAACCTAATTGTTTACTTTACATTCAAAACAAGACTGTCTTAGCATCCCTAATGTGTTATCAAAAATATTTGTCTTCATTTAATTTTCAGCGTGGAAAAGACGGTTACTTTATCTCATATGTTATATATTTCTTCCATAATGTAATATGTTTTAAATCAACTTCAATAAAACAAAGTGTTAAAAAAAATATTAGTACAAGAAAGTCAAGTTTATTTTACCCCAAAAAAAAAAACCAAGTTTAGTTTTGAATAATATTCGTCCAAAATATACAACCAAATTGAATATGCATCCTGTTTACTCTATAGCCAGACACATACTCGAATGAACTTATCTTGGTTATGCGTCCGCTTTACTTATCTTAGTTCTGACATCAAATTTATTTATGTATGTATTATTAATGGCTAGTAAGGTTCTTACGTTGAGATTGAGGCAAAGGGTAAAAGAGTATTGAAGCTTCTGAATCGAAAAGAGACGTACGAGATGGACCAACCAAAACTAATTATGAGATTCTTACCGACGGCGGGAGCTCACTGGGGAGGTAAAATCAAAATAAAGTGTCTCGAGACCGATCTTGAAGCTGAGTTAAACATGAACTCCGGTTCCTTCATCGAACGATTAAGAGGCAACAATAGATCCATCAAAGGAAAGATCTCCGAATCTTCCTCTGGGAATAAGCTCTACGACATCTTTGGCCGTTGGGACAGGTAAAAAACATGAATCATAAAGTCATTATAGCTCTAAAAATGTGAAGAATATCCACACTGGAAGTGAAATGACACATTAAGCGATATAAAGAGACATGGATTAGTCT